AAAATTTGCTTACGTTGTTGACACAAATCTGCTTTGAACTTTGACCAAGCCTAATGAAAAGTCTTTGTTTTCTATCTTATCAATAGCGGGTATATTCTACGAGAATTGTACCGTACGTCGAAAAATAGTGATAGGGAATGGGAAGGAGGGGAACTCCGGGCTCGCTCCACGTGCGTCTCGCGATCATCGGGAAACGATGGCGAACCGAGTGCTCGGCAGCGCGACGGTGAACACGCCTAAACAGCTGTACAAATATTTATTACGCGAATGCGAAAAACTGCCGAAACACACGCAGCAATATTACAAGCACTCGGTCAAACAAGTAAGTGCGGAATGATTTTCTGATTACGGTAACCTCTGCTTGACGCCTAATAAAAAACGGATCTATTAAATATCAATATCCCTAATCAACGATAAGCTAACATCTATTATAATTTTCACGAGAAAAGTATCCCTCTTGCGACGAATCCTCTGTTAATAAAGTAAGCTTTTGTTATTGGAGGCATTGTTTTTTCCCAGAGTTTCAAGCAGCACGCCTCGGAATCCGATGAGGAACGCGTGCAGCAAATCATGGAACAGGCACTGCTGGACGCTAAGTGGGTGATACAAAAGGTACTCCTCTCGCTATCTACCTGTATTAAATTTAATATTCGAATAAGCGATAGCGTGCCTTTTTCTTTACATTCGCCAGTACAACCAGCCAGGCAGTACCCCAACGCCCAAATGATAAACACAAGTTGTGATCTACAAGAAGCACATGTGGCAAATTAGTATTACCTAGATAGAAAAAATGAATTTTGTGGAGGTCGTTAGTGAGAGCACTAACAGCAGCAATTCACAGTTTTGGAAAGCCATCGGGATCTGGATGAGAAACCCTCATGTGGTTAACCGTCGAATCCTGGCGTCCCAAGAGCTATTAGCAGTCGAAGTCAACCGCGACGTTCTGGATATTTTCAAACACGTTGAGAAGCTGCAGGTGAAACCTGATGATTTTGAGAGCGAATCATCCACGGGAGATGTAAAATATTTATTGGACGTCTTGAGTATCGCGGAATACTGTCAATCGGTTCAATGTACGGATCCGATCGAGGCGGTGGACGACAAGACGTATCTGCACGTGAGAAAGCTGCTGCCTCGCAACACGC